AAACAGCAATAGTAACTAATACACTCTTGGAGAGGATCTTTTTTAATATAAATACAATTGGATCACTCCTGCCTCACACCCACCAATGGCTTTCTGCCACTCTTAAAGTGAAGAGAAAATCGTCACCCCCAATAGGCAAGGTCCTGCAGGATCAGGCATCTGCCCCACTTTGGGTTTAGGTCTACCCCACATCTCTGTGTGCCAGCCACACAGACCTTGTTTCTTTTTCTGAACTAGTGTCTCTCACAATGAGATCCATAAGTTTTGTCATCTGAAGCACCAAGGTGCTGACTAAATATAGATTCCTGGGCCCTGTACCAGGACAAGTGAGTTCAAATTTTGGGGGTGGTGAGAGGCTGACTCTTGTATCCTCTGTAGGCTGAGGGTCCCTGCTCCAAACACATGATGAACCACCTTCTTGGCCTGTGGGAAGGCCCTTTCTGCTGCTTTAAGGGACCACTCCCTCCACCTGTCAACTGGTTAATGCCCCCGCATCCTCTCATCTCAGACCGATAAACCCTTCCTCAGGGAACCATTTCCAGAAACTTCACTGCATGCTCCTCTGTAGCATATTTGACAATCGTTATTTGCTTCTTAGTTTAAGGTCTCTTGCTCTCATCAAACTCTCAAGGCAGGGAGCACCTTCTCTGAACCCTTTCTCAGGAAGCCTGAGTAACTCGGCAAAGTAATAATAATAATAATTCCTTATTTACAGGGTTCCTTCCTGGTTCAAGCTGGTCATGGCATCACCATCCCTCTGGTGAGTGGCTCAGGGATTCAGGCTGCAGCCAATCAGAGCAAGGCATTCCCTTAGTGACTGTGGTGTCCGGTAGTGTGGCTTAGAGTTAGTTCACTTAGACCAAGAAGAATTTCTCACTCCTTGGCAAAGGAGACCTGTCTTCCTCTGGATGTGAAGGAGGAAACACACTGCCTGCCATCTTACAAGTATGAGGGGAACCATCCTGAGGAGAAAGTCAACTGAGAAAAGACAGCAATGCCCAGAGTTTGCTAGAATTCAAGCAGTGGCCCCAACCCTGGACCTCAATCCTTCTGGTCCTACTGTCATGGGAAATATCCTGGGGGTGTCTGCAATTTTGAGTTGTATTTCTGGTGAGTGGCAGCCAAAAACATGCATGTTGGGTAGAAGAATCATGAGAATTAACC